GTCTGCAGTGGTTTACCGCAGGTCTTTACGGAGACGCATGTGGTCTAATAGGCCACTGCGATGGCTGAGTGTGCGAGGTCACTGCGGCCAGCTGAGGTGATGACGACGGGTGTATGGTGGCGCTGCGGGCACCGGTTCGTTAGCTCCTGAGCGACGGATTCGCCAGCAACCAGTCGAGCTGACTCGCGATACGTATGTGCGGTGGCAATATAGGCAGGGTGGGTTAGGAGCTGAACACTCGGCTGTGATGTTGCTGCTAGTGGTGACCGCGCCGGTGGAGGTGGGTTGGTAGGGCTGAGATTGAAGAGTAGTCGGGTATGCAAAGTGTGCTTGGTGTGCCGATAGTGCGGTGAGTTTGGCCGTCTTGGATACACATGTGGCAGAACAGGCCCATGCAGTGCATGAGCAGTGTGGACAGTGAAGGTGGATGCAGTGAGTGTATGTATGTCGGGGCCTCTGGCACTGGTTCACCCGTCTTGGTGCGATGGATTCGCAAGTGGACGATCGGGATGATGTGTTCGATCAGGATAAAGACAGGTTGGAATTTAACCCCATTGCTGATTATGGGGGTATTGGTAGTGAGGGCAGTAGTCGACGGGGTTCGGGAGTGTTCTCATCGGGGCAGTAGTGGGAAAAGTTTTAGTCGTCCTTGTCGCGGGAGACTGTAGCAGGGATGATGTGGGTGGCGCTAATCGACGGCCGCGGGCATCAGGAGTGTAATACCGGTGGTGGGGCTGGTCGTCGACACCATGGGGGTTGGTGCAGGCGTGACGATGAGAGTATTTGTAGAGGCAGCAGGTGGGGATGTTAGGTTGTTGTTGCACAGGGTCCGGAGGTGTCCGATGAGGTCGATCTGTGCGCTGAAGGTTCGTCGAGAGCGGGACCGTTTGAGAGGGCTTAGGTGTTGACGTTGTGGATCGCAGGCGCTCGAGACATGCAAGTTGCTATTTTGGCTTTGGCAGCAGCAATCGTGCTATCCTTATAGATTGCTGCTTCAGTCTTAAGTGCTTTTCTTCAGGTTGGTCGGTCCAGGAAGAGGTCATCCCGGAATTCCAAGTTGAATTATGGGCCCTTGAGAGAGTTGTTCGGGTGTCTTTGTGTCCTCCTTGTCGGCGAGCAACCGTAAGGACACATCCGTAGAAGAGTCGCTTTGGGAATCGCTTGTCATCCATCAGCACGAGACTAACGCTCCATTACGATTGTATTCGTCCCAGCATGGAATGGATGCTGACGATTCGGGTGGGTTCCAAGACCTCAGTGTCAGAGATCCTATCCTATAACCTCGGCTCATGGTAACCGAATCGCTGCATTATATTCCTGAGCCCATTGCGATTCACTGAGTTGAAGGGTATTTTCAGGTCCATGAAGGTAGTACAGAGGTTGGTACGTATTTCCTGCCACTTCTCTTGCAGTTGTCGTGCCGCGAAGATCATATCGGCGGTTCCGCAGTGTTGTTGAAAGCCACACTGACTTTCCGGAAGGAATTTGTTTCAGATGGTCGTTAAGAACACTGAGAAGGATGCGAACGAACATCCTCCCGGAAATGGTTATCAGCGGGATTCCTCTGTGATTGTCATGATGTTGCAGGCTCCCTTTCAGATTGTAGAGACGGATGATTGTTGCATTCCTAAAATACTGAAAAACTTTTTCTTGGTGTCACATCTCCTAGAACATCATTGTTAGTTTGTCATAATCCTGAGGCCTCTATACTTGTAGACTCGAGCCGCAACTGCGTCCGACCCCAGTGCTTTCCCGCTAGTGATCCGTTTCACGGATATGACTGTTTCTGGAAAGGAAGGCAGACGATCCATGTCGGTATTAGTTTCCACTTGGGGCAACCAACGAAAGGTGGCGCCAGAGATTGTGGATAGCGGCAGAGGACGCGTCTGAACTGCCCGGCCCGGCATTTCAGAATTTGAAATTTTTTTGTCCGAATTGTTGTTCCACCTGACCTGAGCAGTGGTATGGTCTCTTTAGTGCGGGGCTTTAGGTTACCTCGATGGAGACGAAGGGGTGGTTTACTGCCAATAGAAGAGAACAGGCGAACTCCAGGACAGTTCAGAAGAAGAAAATGCGATCACTGGGACAAGAAGTTTATTGGCATGACGTTTTGGATTCTCACTCGAATCCATCACCAGAGACGGTTGCAGATAAAGGCGGTGGAGGCACAAAGACTGCAATGTTTATAAGACGTAGCTGCCGTGGGGCCACATGCGTACTATAAGTAACAGCGCTCGTGATCACCGCTGGGGGTCGTAAGAAAGGCAATGATGACTCGTCAGTCCGCGCCGGAGTCGTTAATTGCCGCAATTTCATCCTCCGTGTTGGATGTTGACGTGATGATTACTCGGCAATTTGGCCCGCTGTCACCGAGATAGTTGATGGCCCGCTCTCGTCCCACGTGAGTGATTCCCCTGCTCAGGGAATATCTCAGCATTGAATATGAAACCGGAAGATAATTATGCTTGTTGGTGGATTACGAGCCTGAGAATCATGATGCGAGCAGCTCGCGGCTCACGTTGTTGTCAGCTCTTGTAAGGATTTCGGTCTCTTGAAACTTGAAAATGCGGTCGGGTTCCGTAGAATGAGCTGCTACTTGAGGGTTGGCGCCTTTCCTCCTCACCGCCGCTGCGTGCTTAGCAATGCGCATCCGGAGTAAACTCCCAATTTCTCCGACGTAGTTGCTCTGTCCGCAACTGCATCAGATCCGGTAAACGACTCTAGACGTTTCCTGCCGTGGCAGCGGGTCTTTCGGCTTCATGACTTGGTGCCTGATGGTTGCTTCCGGCCCGTGTGAAACCCCAACTCCAAGTGGAGTGAGTAGACGACTGACGGCTTCCGAGACTTTCCTCACGTATGGAAACGCTCGCCAAAATTTAGGGCCGGATAGATTTGGTTTCTGGTTTCGTCTACGTATGCACTGGTTGACAGAGTTGCGCGGGTA